TTAGCATACAAAAACAATGGAGTACGACAAAAACAACACAGCATGCATACACGACGATGCCTTTATATTCTAAACTTGCAAACGCAAGCAAAGATTAGCCAAAAGTATATACAAATCCAACCAAACAACGTTAAGAATCAAAGGGAATGTCAATTTAATTTCTTAAGGCATGTGCATTGCGGGAGTTAAAGAGTCTTATCAAGCAAAACAATGCACACACGTAAAAGAAAGAACAGAAAAAGAAATTGTGTGAAAAATATAGAGTGATTTTGTGTGTCCCTCCACTTGACTTTGAGTTTGGGACTCTGTCTATATGTGGTATACATTGGGAGCTTGGAGATGGAGTGCAAATTTTTCAAGGAACTTGTCGTGCACTCTTATTATAATACCTGAAATGATACATCGAATGACTTATACTCTGCTAAATTGGTTTTGGATTGAATGCTTATATTTTATCATAATATTGAGTGTTAAGGGTCACTTGCTCTTACTTCACGCAATAAAAATTGGACGTGTTTTCAGCCCAAAACGACATCATACACGAGAAGGAAGCGTGTCAAGTGTATCACACGTCGTATATGGAATCCTAGTGTAAAGAGCTATTAAAATCCTACATCACTTTATCTAGTGAATTAGTTTTCCTTTTGTTTTGTATTCACTATAACTATATAGTGACGTGTTACCAAATCACTCATGCTAAAACATATGTGAATATATTAGGGCTTAGAGTTTAACAAACAATTTCTTCCAAATAATGTTATATACAATTCTCCACATGTTATAACATGTTTTACTTATGATTTTGTTCGTCCACTCATATTACAACACGCAAATTAATTAGAAACCGACAAATTCTCCTCATAATAACAGACAATGATGATTTTTTTTTTTTTTTTGAGCAAAGACAATGATGATTTTGCACAAAGAAAACCTCTTTCCCTTGAAATTTTGTGTTTGGAGTTTGATCGTGTTTCTTACAAAAGAACTAAATGGCCCATTCTTTAGTTCTTTTTCCAATGATAAAGCTATTTATCAAGCATTATTCCCATGACAAACAGTCTGATTTTGCTCACCTTAACTGCAAAGGAAGGTGTCAAATGTCAATCACCATTTACAATAAATTTGTACAAAGAGAGAACAAAAAAAGAAATTAAGTTATGTAAACCTGTAGCACTCACCACCTCAGCTACTGAATTTTGCTTGACGAACTCCTTCCCATTAGGAGACAGTTCTCTTTCATAGGACAAAGATCTATATGAAACATGTTCATCTCTACGTAATATTTTAATCCAGTAATACATTATCATGTATAATATTTTTTTTCCGTATGATAAAGTACTTTGGACCAAAACACCATAATAATGACGAACCCATTTCATATAAGCTGAGCCCTTTACATATCAGTTGAAGCAGATTCAAAGGAGCTTTGTTGGACTTCCCCTTGCTTTTTCATGCTCTTCCCAAAACTGTCAAAAATGTATTCTTTGTTAAGTAATTGTTTTTTACCACTTAGTATTACGATTCAGTGGTATTCTTTAGCACTTGTAAGTGAGAGATCTTATGTTCTATTTTCGCCAAAGGCGAATTTGAAACACATTATTGTTAGCCCATTGTGAGGCTAATCTCTCTCCCCTCTCCCTCTCTATCTATATAAGATCTTTTGTTAAAAAAAAAAAAATTATTTGTTAAGTAATTTAAATGCTGAAACACTGTTCCCTAATTAGTAATTAACTTGCTTTCCCTTTTTTTTCAACTTGCTTTCCATTTCAATGACCTAAAATTACCAATCTTTATCTCTACCGCTTGACATTTTCTCATTTTCTTAATCATGGAAGTACACAACCTACCCAATATTTTAGCCAAGCGTTAGGTGCATCATACATTCCCAATTTATTATAATTAAATTCTCTTAACTAACCCCATTAAGTACTAATCAGTCAATTACCCCCATTCATATGTATTTAAGAAAAAAAATTGTGTTTCTTATCACATATTTTTCAATGTGACAACCACATCGTTATTCCATGTTATCAAAATTCTTGTTTTAACAAATAACTATATCTACGAAATATCAACTTTTTATCTATCTGTACTATAATTTGTGAATAAATAACATCTCTTGATGGTATTATAATAGCATCTTCCTAGAAAGTGCATAATTCAAAACTTGGTTTTCCTCTAATTTTATGAATGCATTTTTGCTCACCATCCTAAAGTGGTGGTGATGCTTACCATCCTATTAATTACTTTTTTTTTTATTTTTTTTTAACAAACGATATTATCTACACTAAGGGAGAAGAGGTGGACTAAGCCTCACAATGGGTTAGCAATAATGTGGTTCAAATTCGCCTTTGTTGAGAATCGAACATGAGACCTCTCATTTACAAGTGAAAAGGAATACCACTAGACTATAGTACTAAGGGCTGGTTTGGTATTGTTGCGCTTTGAAAAAAAAACTGCTTCTGTTGTGCTATGAGAATAAGCAGCTGTGAAATAAGGCAGTATAGTGTTTGATAAACTTTTTTGTAAAAGTGCTTTTGAAAAAAAAAAAAAGTATTATAGTATTTGATAAACTTTTATGTAAAACATATGTGAAAAAAAGTTGGTTTTTCAAAGCTGGGTTTTGTAGCTTTATGTTTTTGGCTTTTTTAACCCAAAACTATGAAAAAAAAACTGAAGCTGAATGTTTACCAAACATAAAAAAGCTCCCAGATTTTTTTGATAGCCACTTTTTTCAGAATCATCTCAGTACCAAACTAGGGCTAAGTGGCTCCTATTAATTACTATTAGATTAGTTTAAATTTTAAAATTTGTGTAATAGATAAATTAAATCAAATTCATCCAATAGTAATCAATAGGGTGATGGGCATCACCATCACTTTAGGGTGACGAGCAAAAATATTTCCCTAATTTGCAAAAATATATCTCTATGACATCTCACATCGCCTAGGGGAGTGATCCTTAAATGCATGTTCTCATCTCTACCTAGCACGAGGCATTTTGGGAGCTCACTAGCTTTGGGTTCCGTAAGAACTCCGAAGTTAAGCGAGAAGGGGGCTTGAGCAATTCTATTATGGGAGACCCACTGGGAAGTTGCTCGTGAATTCCCAAAAACAAAACCGTGAGGGAATGGTAAGCCTAAAACGGATAATATCGTGCTACGGTGGTGGAGCGGACCTGGGGAGTGGTCCCCCCGGACCGGGATGTGATAATTTCCCTAATTTTATACCCACTTTTCTTTTAAAGTTTGGTCAAATATTGTTAGAGTAATGTTCATGAGACTATGTTAAAGTATAACTTTCTGCCACCTTACAATTTAATATCAATTTCAATGTTAATATTATAAAATATTGTGCAAAAAAATATGAGATGCCAGAAAGTTTAAGATGCCAAAACCATTAGGTGCCAAAAAATTAAACTCTCCATGAACTTTCTGCCAATCCATATTTTTAACACAATATTATATAATGTTAAATAGAAGTTAAGATGACATAAAATTAAAAAAGAATGATAATTTGAAAGAACTCGCATTTCTCTTGTTAAGATAATTGTCCGTTTCGTGTTTTGATTTCTTGGCAAACGGAAATCACCAGATTTTTGTAACGTCAAAACGCAAAACGACGAAGGCACGCACTTAAATCACATCGCACAGCGTTATTAACAAGCCCAAAACGACAATTAGCGCGAGGGCGAAAGCGGGCACCGCGCACGTCAGTCCCTGTGTGAGTGTCACTGACGGAAAGGCCGGCTTTCACTTTTCGGTGATTGATCAGCTCCGCCCGCGCTTTTTTGTTGGGATTTGATGTCGCCGTCTGTCCTTGGATTATAAAAAAAAATAAAAAATAAAAAAAAAAAGGGGAAGGGCGCTGAGCACGTGAGAAATGACGGGGAAACAAAGATCTTGCCGGACATAAATAAAGAATCTGGGAATTCGGGTGTGTATAGCGCTCATACCAAAAGTTTTAGGAATCTTTTAACTCATCCCAACCCACTAATCTCACCTAATCATTAGATAATTCCTCCATAAACTCCAAAAAAAAAAAAAAAAAAAAATCTTCCAAGATAAGAATTTCATTAAAGTCGGACTGAAACGTTTACATCTTCCGCCATAACATTAAATAGAAAATCTAGATCTAAAGGTCACCATAAGTAGGAGGCATCATGCTTGAATGCATATGCCACCATCGTATGAGCAACACGATTGCCCTCTCTCGAGGTGCACTCAATTATTTCAATAGCTCATCTTAATTCATTTATTTTTCCTTTTTAATTCATAAAACTGAAATTGCTAATGATAGTCTAACAAAATTATTGTCCGCAAGTGTTACTCTTTGCACTCAAATTCACACATGTCTCCCTATAATATAGATAAATTTAGTTTAATTATTTTATGTTGAATCATGAATCATGATTTTCTTAGAATGCAAATAACATTTTCGTTTAATAGTTCAGAAATTGACTCATAAGATTATTTAAAACGAAGGTTGTTATCCTCACTTTGAAAATGAACCATTTTGCCCTCCTCATTTCTTTATATTTTACAAAAACGGTGCGAGGACAACCATTTTACACTCCTCATCCTTTATATTTCACACTAACGGTTCAAGGGTTATTTGAAATTGGGGTGTGCTATCCACACACCCCATGATAACTTCTGTCCGTTGATTTTCTTCAATTCATCCGATCCGACAACCGAAAATTTAAAAGGTGTGTGAAAAGTAAAATGGGGTATGTGGATATCACATCCCTTGAAAATTTGAAGTGCTAATAACAGCTCAATTTAAAATATGTTCAAGGACTTTGTTTTAGAATTAGATATCTCATCTTAATCATTTATTTTCCTAAAAAGGCTTGAGAAAGTCTAAAACAATGGGATAAGGAGCCCTCCCTATTACCCACTCTTCGCCCACATATTTAGGGAGCAAAATACCACTTATCCAAAATTAAAAGATTAAAAATGGAGGCAATGGGAGCTGATTTTTCTCCTCCTCCCCCCTAAATTAGCTGCAAAATTCCCCTTTGCCAACAAAATTTTAAATCTTTCTAACTTGTGAATTAGATCTTTAAATTTAAAGACTAATTACACTTTTTTATTCAAGGAGTTCATTGAGAATTTATTTTAGTGAAAACATTCAAAATTTTCGCTAGCAAAAATCCCATTGGCTCCTTCAATTTCCTCTCCATGGGTCCCAAAGCAATAGGCCCACTCAAAAGAACAACGATCATCGTAAACTACAGTTGGACGATCAGAAACGCATCATCGTCGGCACTTTGACAATAGTACTGTCTGAGCGTGTCACACGGGAACCAACCCATTAAGAATTACGCGCGCGATGGGTTTTAGGGGAGGGCCCTTTTGGTGAAGCTTGTTTGTTTTCTTGCGGGGGAGGGAAGCGAAGAGGCACAAAAACGCCGTCGTTAGTCTCTGCCGTCGCCGCAGAAGCTTTCCAGCTTCAAATACAACGACTCTATTTCCTCCCCTTTCTGCTCTGCAACAACGCCGCCAACGATGAAGAAGAAGAAGAGAGACGCAATCAACGGCCACAGCTGCATCAACATCACCGCCACCGCCATCGGCGGCGTCGTTTTCAAAACCTCTGTTCTCCGGCGACACTTCCGCCGTATCCGCCACCACGTGTTCCCGCTAATCTCCGCCGTTTCCGGTTGCCTGCTCCTCTTCCTCGCCGCCTTCTCTGTTCTCGCTCCGTCGCCGGTTCTGCATCCTCACGATCACCTCTCGCTCTTACGTCACCTCACCTCGGTACTCAAGCACATACCGAATCACCTCTCAGCTCCGATTTTCTCGGTTTGCTATGATTTTCTTTTTATATGAAAACTGTCTTGTGGTTTTTGCGTTCAGGATGACAATGGCGACGTTGAGGTCTGGCCGAATTCGGAGGAGACGACGAAGTTTCGCGTGCCGGTGCGATATTTATATTTTTGGAGCTGATTTTGCAGAATTTAATTTAATTACTGGCTTTTGCTCTGATTTTTGTTTTGAATTTTTGTTCTGTTTTTAGGAGAGTGGGGGAAGTTCAGGTCGATATTTATGGAGTACAAGGAAATCGGAGCTTTTCTATGGCTGCAGCAATGCCGCCGATAACTTTGCAAGTAAAGTATATTGGATATTCAGATTGAAATTCAATATTAATTGGTGGTTTTGCTTAGGGCTGGTTTGGTATCGCTGAGTTTTGAAAAAAAACTGTTTTTGCTGTGCTGTAAGAATAAACAGTTGTGAAATAAAGCAGCAAAGTGTTTGGTAAACTTTTTTGTAAAAGCGCTTTTGAAAAAAAAAAGCAGTATTATAGTGTTTGGTAAACTTTTATGTAAAACAGATGTGAAAAAAGCCAGTTTTTCAAAGATGGGTTTTGCAGCTTCTTGTTTTTGGTTTTTTTTCATCCAAAACTGTGAAAAAAAGTTGAAGCTAAATGTTTACCAAACATAAAAACAGCTCCCAGGTTTTTTTGATACCAACTTTTTTCAGAATCACCTTAGTACCAAACCAGGCCTAATCTGATTGATTGAAGTCTTGTTTTGTTCATTTCATGGTGTTGTAAACGAATCGATTCTATGCCGTGTGATGAAGTTATGGTAAAGTTTGAATTTTTTATTGTTGGAGCTCTTGTTTAATTTATCTTACCAAAGCAATGCTTTAAATGTTGCAGCTGCTGATGCGAAAACTCATTCGAATCGCTACTTGTTGATTGCTACTAGTGGAGGCTTGAACCAACAAAGAACAGGGGTGAGTTTCTTATTCGCAATTGGGGTTTTTTTGTTTCTTTTAGGCATCTGGTTATAAGTAGCTATTGTTTAGGTCTAATTGATTGGACTTGTATGCTGTAACTATGCGTGTTTTCGCTGTTGGTTCAGTGCTTGATGCTTCCTTTACTGGTTGTATTGCAGATAACAGATGCTGTCGTTGCAGCTTATATCTTGAACGCTACTCTTGTTGTTCCCAAGTTGGACCAGAAATCGTATTGGAAGGATTCCAGGTCAGTTTCCTCATTTTACAGTTAAAGAACACTGTCAATATAAGGGATATAGTCAGCATATTTATAATGCGAATTGGGGTATTTGTTGCAGCAACTTCGATGAAATCTTTGATGTAGACTGGTTTATATCATCTCTTTCGAAAGATGTTAAAATCATTAAAGAGCTTCCAATGAAGGGAGGGAAACCAATGAGTGTGCATACCACTCGAGTCCCAAGGAAGTGTAATGAAAAATGTTACCAGAACCGCTTGGTACCTGTTCTTAATAAAAAGCATGTAAGTGTCTTGCTGAAGAATGTAGCACATTCTCTTTAAAGAATTATAATATGCTTTGAGACCGTGTAGTGTATGAAATTTATATTGGTTGTGCTTTTCAGGTTGCATAGAATTGACAATTGTAGGTTATGCTTTCTAATGTGCAGGCTGTTCAGCTCACAAAATTTGATTACAGACTTTCAAATAGGTTGAATTCAGATTTACAAAAGCTGAGATGTAGAGCCAATTATCAAGCCTTGAAATTTATCAACACAATTAGCGAAATGGGTAAAAAGTTGGTTGAGAGAATGAGAATGAAAAGCAAGCATTTCATTGCCCTGCATCTGAGGTAGACTGCAAATGATTTTTAATTGCTTGTGTAATATTTCCCCAGTATACATGCTAGTATACTATGAGTAAGCTATGCGTTGTACAGAATAATTGCTTGTGCAGATGTTAATTGTTTTTATTTTCCTAATTTACTGAAATTGATACTTTGAGTATTAACGTGTGTTTGTTCCTGAAAAAAAGTTGAACTTTCTGTTTTCTCAGAATAATATACTTGGGTGGGTTGTAATGTACGAAAACCTTGGTTTAGGTTATTTTGGTGGTTGTTAGTGTTGTCCGTAAAAATGTTAGTATGTAGAAAAAAGTTTGTTACATTGGTTAGTTACGTTATAGGTTTGAGCCTGATATGCTGGCGTTTTCTGGATGCGATTATGGTGGGGGAGAAAAGGAAAGGAAAGAACTTGGCAAACTTCGGAAAAGGTGGAAAACTTTACATGTAAGGCTTCACTAATGAGTAATGACTTGGATAATGCCGTTCAGTAATTACCTGTGTATATAATTTGTCTCTGCCTCACAGTTACATTATTTTATGGGGCTACATTGCATGCAGGCAAGCAACCCTGATAAGGTACGAAGACATGGCAGATGCCCGCTAACTCCAGAGGAAGTTGGTCTCATGCTTAGAGCATTAGGTTTCGGAAATGATATTCACTTGTATGTGGCATCCGGTGAAGTATATGGAGGTGAAGAGACAATGGCACCACTGAAAATACTTTTCCCAAACTTCCACACAAAAGAGACTTTATTAAGTAAGGAGGAGTTGGCACCATTTTCATCCTTCTCTTCTCGAATGGCTGCACTGGACTTCATTGTTTGTGATGAAAGTGATGTTTTCATCACCAACAACAATGGCAATATGGCTAAAATGTTAGCTGGTCGAAGGTATTAAAACTCGAGTTACCAATACATTTATTTTTTCACTTGTTCTGTTTTGATTCATGTTTTAGCTGTAACAAGTTTGTCTACTCACGCAGGAGATATTTTGGTCACAAACCAACAATCCGTCCAAATGCTAAGAAACTGTCTCCGTTGTTCATAAATCGTAATAACATGACATGGGAAGAATTTGCATCGAGGCTTCGAACGAGTCAAATTGGATTCATGGGAGAGCCAAATGAGATAAAGCCAGGCAGGGGTGAGTTCCACGAAAACCCAGTAGCCTGCATTTGTAGTGCATCCAACACAAAGGCTAAGGAAGTTCCAATTCTGCAAAATGAAAGTCCTGATATCCTTAAAATAGATAAGGAGGATTATACAAACAAGGACAGTGGTTATGCGACAGATGAGCAAGTAACTGAGGACGAGCAAGATTGGTCTGAGGCTGATTATGATGAAATTACAAATAGGTCTCTAGGGAAAGTGCTACCTAGTGTAAGAGTTTCGGATCCAAGTCTTCTACATAAGTCCGACCAACCAGAAATCGAAGAATTCTTTTCAGACTGAAGTTTGACGACAGGATTTCAATTTTTGGCAAGTTAGCAGTTTTGTCTTAACAAGCTCTTCACCAAATTCTTTGGGTCTTTCTGTCGCCCGTTTTGATAGGTTACTTACATGGGTGAGAGTGATTTATACAATTGAAGTGGCCGTAACAGAAAACCACATTGTACATTCAGGCTTCAGCAGTTCATCATCTTTGGCTTGAAATCACAGTGAGTGATGGCAGACTATACAGGACCATTCAGATTTTGAACCCTGTACAGTGGTTCATGCTCAGGACAACATTGTGTTTTCTTCTTTGATGATTCTTTCCGTAAGGCAGGAACGTATATATGATGGTGATACGAGGGTTTAGGGTTTAGGGTGTGGTTATTATAGGCGCGGAATTCAGGTTTTACTTTCTCTTAAAGGAATGACAACGTATTCGCCTTTTTAAATTGGCTCTACAACTCGCAATTACGCACACAATCCTAATCAGCGAGTCTGATTATCCGTCATGTTTTTCCAAGTTTAACAATAATCAATTTAACCTTTCCAATTTGGAAGTTGTTTTCGTGCTATAAAGAGAACTATTTGAGGAAGGCCAATGAAGTAGTTATTGTTTCCACACTATTTTGCCTGAACATAGTAAAAAGCAGTGGAGCATTTTGCTCCATCTCCAAGTTCAAAGCCATTATACCACGCAAACTCGCAAAAACGCGATTCAAAATCCAGACCCTCGTACCATTATAGTAATCGCTGAATGCGCGCAACAAAAGATGGAGCGAAACCAAGAAATCTGTATGCAACCAACTTTGTTAAACATCTCTCGTTCACCCTAACTAGTCCAAAAAGTGTACGTGGCACTAGTTCATATTACAAAGGAACAGTGAAAAAGAATGATCCAAGTTATGGTAGCTCTACATTTACACCGCAACACCAGAGACGTTCAAAGCAACAAGACCAAAATCATCCTCCGCCACAAGACTTGCAACGCCGGCTACCACATTTGGTTGTTGTTCTTCATCTTGCCCTGTATTAACAGCTATTTATCGGCTTCAGACTCGTCACTTCCACGGGCTTCAGGCTCATCACTTCCATTTGCCTCAGTTTCATTTCCTCCCTTATCTCCTTCTACTTGTGGATCCTCCGACATGGCATCAATTCTAATTTCACCGACGGACTGCCATGAAGTCTGCTGAACATATCCAGCCGGTAGAAGTGAATTGAGAGGCCTCTGTGACAAGTTTGTAAAAATCAGGAGAACGGCTTTTTTTTTTCTCATCAAGTTCAAAAACTTCATACAACACGAATACGTGATTTGAATCCAATCTGCGGGAATAATATTTTCCAACCAAACATGGAACTTGGAAAGGAAAATTGAATTCAAGGCCTCCGCCATTGTTCGTTTCGAAATTGTACCTGCATCCAAACTACACCAGCCCATTGAACCAGACAATCGGCGAATGCAACAACAGATAGAGTGAAACCCAAGAAACCTTTACGAAACCATTTTGGAGGAAGCTTGATATCTATGGAAGATCCCTCGTTGTGATTGTTGAAACAATTTGGAATTTCAGATCCCGGACAAACAATGGTATGCAAAGACTGATTATAATTTTCCTGTAACGTTATGGAGATCATATTATTTAATAGGTGAAGAAATACAAGTATTTATTCAATTAAGCAACGCAAGTGAGAGAGACAATTGGTGGTGGCAAACACAATCGGCCCCCTTTATCTTTACGTACAAAGTTCTGTTTTTCACCTGTATCACTCGGTTCTTGGACCAACTCCAACTCCAATGGTTAGGTTTTAATTCAAAATAGTTTTTTTTTTTTTTTTTTTTTTTTTTCCTCTAATGATTTTGACTTAAAAATTTAGATTGATATTATTAAAGAATGAATTTAGCTAAATAATTTTTTGAAAAATTTAATTAAAAAAATTATGTAAATTATCCTAATTTATTTTTATGAATATTTTAATCTAAAAATATTTACATTCAAGTTATATAATAAAAAATTATTAAACCACCCATGAAACATATTTTCATGTAACTAATAGAACAACATGGAAAACCCTTTCTACACATGAAACACAAGGGAGAGTTGTACAACAAAGTCATGAAACACATTATAGACATATAAACACATAAAATAAAACACATGAAACACACCCACCACCACCACTACCACCACCCTCCTCTATATCTCAAACCAACACACCATATTCTTCTCTTTCATACTGTTTTTCTTGTCGCAAAGTGATCCATCTTTTATACTGTTTTTGCACCGCTGGGAGCCTGGTAAAGATTGAAGCCACCTGCATTTGATTAAACACAGGCGAGAAAGCTGGGAAGCTTGTTTAATTATTGTAGGTATGCTATTAATTTTGGTTGCTCTCAGATCTAAATCCCGTAATGAGGTTAAGCAAACAAGGTCATCAGAGATTTCGGATATACCGCCGAAGCAGCGGTTTAGTACTTCCAAAGCGAGCAATTCGACAGAGATCGGAGGAAATTCTTTAAGCTCCGGATAGGCAAAAAAGGTGAGAGTTTTAAGATTATTTAAATCGTAGATGCTGTCTAGGATAAACTCAAGATTCTTGCACAAATTAAGATTTAGTCTTTGAAGCCCAATTAGATTTCCAATCGAGCAGGGAAGCCTTTTAACGGCTGTCCCTTGTAAACCAAGAAACTCTACATATTCCATTGGCTCCAAATGTGAGCAAGCGGTGAGATCAAATCCTTGAGAAATTTCAACCTACCGATGTTGAGTGGGAGACTTGTAAGCATTTGACAACAACTCAGTTCTAGTTTTTTTGAGAACAGAGAGAAACTCTATGGACGAGTGTAAGTCTTCAATCGCTGTACTTTCCATTTCAAGCTAAGAAACTCCTGATGTTCCATAGGTTCCAAGATTTCTGGGAAGTGTGTGAATTTGGAGCAACCAGTGAGATCAAGTTTCTCGAGAGATTCCAACTTACAAATGCTGGTTGGGAGACTTGACAGACTTTTGCAATCATTCAGTTCAAGTGTAGTGAGACTAAAGAGACACTCAAGAAGGATATGGGCAATACTTCTATTGCCGTGCAAGATAAATCTAATACATTTATGCCCCTGGAAAGCTCCAAAAACTTACCAAGAGAGGAGCATTTATGTAGACTACAAGTACCAGAGACTTTCAACTTACAGCTGCTGCTCGGAAGGTTTTGAAGGTACCTACAACAGGCAATATCAAAGTGAGAAATTGTTTGCTGAGACCAAACCGATGAAGGCAATTCCTTTATTGCAGTATTTCGTAAACAACTCCATATTGCCTGGCATCTCCGAAATATAATCTAGACTCGTGCACATTTGAAGATCAAGATAAATGAGCACGTCAAGATATTGAAAATACGAAGGAATTTCAAGCAAACTTTCACAGCCATCAAGATCTATATGCTCAATTTTCAGACTCCGAGAGAGATTTGGAACTTCAGTTAGATGTTTGGAGAAGCTAAGACTGATCACCTTTAAGTTCACAAGATTCTGTAACACACATATATAGAAGTGTCTGTATTCATTTATTTAACAAGTTAGTTAAGATGTAGTCTCTAGATTTTGCAGCCTTTTTGGCAATTTATAGCGTTCTTTCTGTTGGAAATATGCCCAAAAGCCTACGATAAGATGATACTTTACGAACATTTCACATGTTAAACTAAACTAGTTTAATATAAGGACAAAGATTATTGTTTAAAGCCATCTCATTAAATGTTATACACTTCAATGATAAGTCTAAGGAATTTGTAATTAGAAGAACGTGATCTAAAGAAGTTAGATTCATGAGATCATTCTCTTGTACACATATCCTAAACATTCTCGATCGTAATTAAGATTGCCAATTGGGCATTAACGATCAGTAGAGATCAATACATGCTATGTCTTCTCTCCTAGGAGAGTGGCCGGTCTCACGTCATTGGTGTGATTGACATCAAGACAATTATGTAGGTGCTCAATAAAAAATGAGTCCACTGAATGCAATCAACGAGGAGTTCTCATACTCATGTCACATGAGAACTCGTGGTTGAGATAATGCAAAGTAGTCATTTGACCTGAGACATCATAATTGTCTTGTGGTTAGGTCCTTAATTAGTCTTTGATCATGTTAAAGGCATTTCATTTGAGAGTGTCCACGATATAGTTGGGGTTAAGCCACTTAATCATGGGGGTCTCTAACTTTCAAACCATTGAGGGATAATACTCTATGATAATTAAGAATCTATAGCCAGAGTATGCATGAGATTCAGGAAGTCATTCCAAATCACATTCAAGATAATCACATTGAATAGAAGACATGAATAAACTATCAAACAAAACAATGTGATCAAAAGTATTGTGTTAGAGAAAGGCCATATTACATTTGTAATCCCAAACTGAATAGATTCTCCAACCTCTTCTGATTAGCTTGTGTAGCCATGACTTACTGTTAGGTGTCACTTATGACTTATGGAAGCCCTGAAAATGTGCAATCACTAAAGGGATTGAAAGTTTGTTTTAATTTACAATTGATTAGAAAGACTTTTAATCGCCCACTGCCTTGATAAAAGGAACCTAATGGATCCCACACTATGTAAAGTAATGATTGAAGGAAATAACAAAGATGAGTTAGGACAATTCAATAGTTTAATTATATATGAAAATGACTAATTAATATATTAATTAATCATACAAAAGGTTTGTAACAGGCCTTAAGTTAGTTTGGGTTTTCGGGGCCCAAAATGGTTTTGGTCCACAAGGCTCATTAAGTTTAAGTTGTGTTACAAATAAAATAAAATGAGCAATTAACCCACTAAAATAAGGAAGGCCGGGCTTGCTAAGAGAGGGAGTGATTTTATACTTATTACAAGTTTGCCACTCAAATGAAGGGAGGTATAAAAACAACTTTATAGCCTTTGCTTCATTAGGGTTTCTTTGAAGAAAGATGAAAGACTACAAGTTCTCACTTTCGCTTTAGGAAGCCGGCCATGTAGGGGGTATACTAGTATCTTCTTCATTCTACATCACTCATCTTCCCTCAATCTTTCCTTGGTGTCGGAACTTAGAGGCCCTCTAATCTGGGGGAACTTTTGGAGAATCCATTCATCCATCCAAATCCAAGATGACATGGAGCCAAGAAGTAAATTTCCTCCTTCCACATTCATGGAACCAAGAAGCATGGAGACAAAGGAATGAAGGCCCTCTCATGGGTGATTAACCTTTGCTAAGCAAAGAGGTGCTTCAAATGTATAATAGTTTCTCAACTCTTTGTGTTTAGAGTTGAGTCTTGGTTCACCACCCCTACTAGGGTTTGAATTTTATGGTTTAAGTTTTGTTTTAATGTGCAGACAAGTATGCTTTTGCCATTTAATTGTTAGATGCATACAATATGTTGCTTAATAAACATAGTTTCTCAAATATTTACCTTCACTTTTGTTCAATTAATAAAGTATTATTTGTAATTTATAATCTGCTTCTTCGTCGCGTACTTTGATTTTTCACTACAAGAACCAAATCACAATCAACTCATTCAACATTCAGATCTGTACAATGACCTCAGTATATAAACTGAGTTTGCAAGCTGAACCGCCTAATTGAAACCAATCTCTTAAAAACAAGAGATTAGGATCACAATACAATAAACTAAAATAAATAATTTATCTATAGAAGAAGACAAGATTGATGGCACAAAAGATTTTCAACACTCCATATAACTACCAATAAAAATGAACTATATGCATGTGAGTAGAGAACTATATATGCTGGGTGGATTAAATGAATGATTTATTTAATTAATAAATAAATCCTGCAGGTATTATAAACTTAACTGAATGTAATTGATCTATGGTAATCAATCCAACAAAGGTGACTGGCGAATTCCATATCATCCATGCAATCGTGCAACCTGAATATGCAGTGTATCTAACAATCTGCACCTCCATTTTTTCTCTTTCTAGTTATTTGAGGAAGTAGTTCATCTTTTTGGTCCTCAAAAGAGCTAAAAATCTCACTTCCCCAAGCTTCAGGTTCATCACGACGCCTCTTGCTTATAGTATCTTCTCCAACTATTATTTTCTCAGCAACTCGGGTATACAACAGGCAGATCCCACACTTTTTCACCATCAGATTGGAATAGTTAACGGGTCTACCCGAATGATCCTGTTGGTAGAAGTGAACAGAGGCCTCAGTGACATTGTAAAGAGTAGCGGAGCATTTTGCTCCCTCTACAAGCTCAAGGGCATTATACCACACAAACACGTGATCGGAATGAAAATTGTAGTTGCCTCTATCCCAATCTGAGCCAGACACCCTACAGTTGAATTCGTGGCTTTCACCATTATTGGTTTTGAAAATGGATTTACACCCAAACCTCAACTTTTCAATATTGTAGTTGTCGAATGTAACAACTAGAGATAGAGCAAAACCCAAGAAATCAGTACCAAACCAATTTGGAGGAAGCTTGATATTCATTGAACATCCTTCATTTTGATAGCTGAACCAATTTGGAATCTCATTCCCAGGACATACAATGATAACAGAACATCCTTCCTCCCCATAATTCTGTACCACACAATCTTCTTCTTCCGAATATTCCTGTACCATGGACGAGAAACCTAGTTAATTGATTGACCAACAAAAATGTGTGTCTGTGAGAGAGAGAGAGAGAGAGAGAGAGAGAGATACGTACAGAATCTTCTTCTTCTATAAAGTTAGATGTCGCAGTTGCCATTCGCATAATTCTAATCAGCGCATCATCCATTAGGTTGCTCCATGAATTCTGACTTAAATTTGGGCAATTAGAAAATTTAAATTCCTCGCAAATCCCTGGAAAATATTCATATTCATCCCAACCTTGGGAGAGTGCAGTCTTTGAACTTGAGATTGTCTTCAGTGATATGCAGCCATGTGCATGAAGACAACTAAGTATTGGGAGCTCAGGTAATGAATGAATGCGACTGCAATTGATTAGGTACAGGTGACGCAGTTGAAGGGCTTGTTTGATGCTTGCAGGGATGCTGTCAATCATGGTTCCGCATAGATATAGAGACCGTAATGAGGCTAAGCAAAAGATGGAACCAGTGATGTCTAATATACTGCAGTAACTGAGGTTTAGTTCTACTAAAGAGCACAAACTGACTGGGAAGGGAGGCAATTTTTGCAGTTTCAAACAGCCATCAAAGCTGAGATATTTCAGACAGTTCAAATTGTAGATGCCATTTGGAACAAACTCAAGGTTCTTGCAGTGACCGAGATATAATGTTTCTAGCCCCACTAAACTTCCAATCGACAATGGTAGTTTTTTAACAGCTGTTCTTTCTAAACTAAGATACTTCAGATGTTCAATAGGCTCCAAGATTTCTGGGAAGTACTCAAATTCAAAACAACCATTGAGACTAAGGCGGTAAATTGATTTCAATTTACAAATGCTCGTTGGGAGACTTGCAAGCCTTTTGCAATTTTCCAGTTCAATTTTAATGAGACTAATAAGACACCCAATTGACGAGGGCAGCCCCTTAATCGCTGTCCCTTCTAAACCAAGAAAAGTCAGACATCCCATGGGCTCCAAGATTTCTGGGAAGTGTTCAAATTTAGAGCATCCACTCAGATCAAGTCGCTCAAGGGATTTCAACTTACAAATGCTCGTTGGGAGACTTACCAGCCTCTGGCAATCTTTTAGCTCAAGTTTTGTGAGACCAAAAAAGCATTCGATTGATGAGGGAAAAACTTCTATTGTTGTTCCAGTCATATCTAACACAGTTATATTATTGGGAATCTTCGAAAAATTTCCAAGAGATGAGCTGATCATTGGACAAAAACCACCGCAGGAGAATTTCAGCTGACAGTTGGTGCTTGCACATTTCTTAAGCTTTTTTGAAAGGGAAAGGATCAAGCAAGGAGAGCTTTCGTTGGACCCGAATGATAAAGGCAATTCCTCCATTGCACTGCTAACTAAACTTAAGAATTCAATATTGCCTGGCGAAATATTGAGACTCCAGCAGGATCCAAGGTTAAGATAAGTAAGCTTGCCAAGATATCGAAAAACTGAAGGAATTAAAACCAAACTTGTACAGCCATAGAGATTCATAGACTCCAGATTTTGACTCTTCGAGAGATCAGGAAGTTCAGTCAGATGAGTGGAATAACTAAGATCAATAACTTTTAAGTTCCCAAGATTCTGTAACAAATTAAAGAAAAAAGACATGAATCAATAACCAAGCTGGAATTATACTTTCTGCACTGCATTTCATTCAAGTATTAAAATAACCATATATACCTGCTCTTTAGTCCAAAGTTGCTCAACCTTGCTGTACGGCATTCGAAGCTCAACAAGATTTTCTGGAGAAAACTTAGATGGCAAAGATTTCAAAGGATATCCATCCCAGCGAAGCAAACTAAGAGTACTGGGAAGAAACTCAAGACCTTGAGAAAGGTATAATTTGCAGTACTTATCATCATAGATATATTTTGTATCACAAATCTGCAATACTCTTAAATTGTACATCTTTTCGAAGGCTGAAGGACTCATGTCTAGTTCTCTAGCTTCAAGCGTGTTAAAGGATATGCCTTGAACTTTTGCAGTTCCCTGGCAATCAGAAAGATAAATAAATGTGAATAACTCAAAATTTAGCAAAACTACATTTATTAAATAAGAATGTGAATGCATTTGGATCTTACTGTATTATTTTTCAGTACATGGTACGCATCCTCAGCAATGCACAACCTATTGCGTTTTCCAGGCTCTTCAATACATTGTTCACGAACAATTGACCGACCCATTTCTTGTACCAAATCATGCATCTCTAGGCAGTTTCGACTTGAAATTTTTATGAGAGACATATCAACCAGAACTTCAATTCCAGCAGCAAAGAGACCACGAGAATCTGACATTCTTTTTACAAAATTTATATTTGATCCTCTATAAAAGCAAGCTATATCAAGAAATATCTCTTTCTCATTTTCTTCTAATCCATCATAACTTAGTCTCAACACATTGTGAATTTTTTGGCTGGGAAACTTTTTCAATTTGTTCAATTCTGCTTCCCAGTCTTCTTTGCTCTTGCAGTGAAGGAATGATGAACCCAAAATTTTAAGAGCTAATGGCATTCCCTCTGCATAATCTACCACCATCCCTAACAACTCAGCATAATCTGTCCCAGGAGAATTATTTTTGAAAGCCTTCAGATGAAAGAGCTGAAGAGCTTCTTCACGTGTCAATCCCTTGACCTCATAAATTTTATCAACTTTTTCCTTAAGTATGCGCCTGTCTCTAGTTGTAATAATGATTCTACTTCCAGGGCCAAACTGAACCTGATCTCCAACTAGAAGTTCTAATTGGCCTGAATCATTCACATCATCAAGAACAATGAGGACCTTTGTATTCAGAAGCCTTCGTTTAACAAGTTCTGATCCTATAGATGGTGTGTCGATATTTAGTTTGTCATCATTTAATATCTTTCGAAGAAGTTTATTTCGCAAGTGATTTGGTTCATGCTTTTCTGATTCCTTCCTCATGTTTGCAAGAAAACATGAAGCTTCAAATTTACGAGAGAGTCGGTTAAATACAGCATCAGCAAGAGTGGTCTTACCAATACCACCCATCCCCCAAATACCTACAGTTAAAACATCTAGTGAATGATTGCATAATAACCACTTGATATCATTAATGCGGCTTTCAATTCCAACCAGACCCTTTAAATCATCTGACAATGTTTCGCTCAATTTGGTCAAAATATCTTCCACAACTTTATCAACTAAATAAGCCTCCGTCCTATCACATATGATTCAATTTGGACAGACAATAAATAGTAAGTATGGCTTAACTAATCTTATTTGCAATATTAGTCGTCAAATCATCACAAGTAGAGAGTAAATACAAACATATACATAGTTACTTACCAAGTTTTGTTTAAATTATCGAACCCAGATAGATTGGCTGCTTTCGTCAAAGCCTCCCTCCACTTGTGAACCTTGTCAATATTGTCCTGGAAACGTTCTTCAAGTTGAGAAAATGCAGCCCCATATGTCCCCTGCTGATTTCGTACATGTGATGGGTCGATGCTGTAAAAAATGGGAATAACACACTGTCCATATTCCTTCTTGCATCGCAATATATGCACAAGCTCACCCAAACACCATGTGGAAAAAGCATAGTTTTCCGAGAATATGATCACCGAAAGATTTGATTTCGTGATTGCTTCCATAAGCGCAGGTGCAATTTCATCTCCTCTCTCAAGATTGTCATCGATGTAGGTTTTGATTTTCTTCCTACATAAAGCAGCATGAAGATGGCTGGTAAAGGTATTGCGGGTGTCTTCGCCTCGGAAACTAAGAAACACGTCATACTTTTCATGAAGATGGTTGTTAGCAGCAGCAGAAGAAGAAGCAGCCATACTCATAGCCTGCAAAAATGTACCTTGGAGGTTGTAGCGTTGTTCTTGCCAGAGAGTTTGGCAACATGCATATCGAATGGGTAAGTCTCTGATAAGAACAAAGCACATTGTACATAAACGACAGAAGGGCCTCAGCTGTTGACGGCAGAATCTCTTTTGTAAGTCTATCAAACTTTTTTTTTTTTTTTTTTTGAGTAGTGCTGTACTTACCATTTACTTGTACCATTGATTGTGTCATTTCTCTAATAAAGGTAGGGTCTGCCAACGCACGTGACTCCCATCTCTATCAAAAAGATGATACAAATATATGATAAGAATAATATTTTTGTTTTTTGTTTTATCATGAATAATAGTGTACCTACTGCCACTTAGTATTACGGTCTAGTGGTATTCTTCTTCACTTGTAAATGAGAGATCTTAGGTTTGATTATTGCCAAAGGAGAATTTGAACCAATTATTGCTAGCCCATTGTGAGGCTTAGCTCACTCTCTCAATCTCTTAGTGTAGATACTATTGTTTGTTAAAAAAAAAAATAGTGTACCTACAATCAAGTCAAAATAAAAGGACAAGCTAAAAGGCAAACTTTCTGAATTAAATAGCCACCAGATTGGTGGATATGCGGGCATGACAAGCACATGACGCAACAAAGGAATGAACTAGCAGCAGCACTCCAAAGACAAAAGAACTTTTAAGTTTGGAATCACTTGGAAATGGATCCTCTCTGGACCTCTTCCACCAAAGCGTCCAAACCCACTAATCCGGGCCGATGAAATTTGATCAAACGGTTAGAGTTATTATAACTTTTTAAAGGGTCCCCTATTTGTTGCCGTTGGATCAAATTTCAACGGCCCGGACTAATGGGTTTGGAGGCTTCGGTGGAAGGGATCTGGAGAGGATCCCTTTCCGAATCACTTCATAACCCACTACAAAAGAGGTTTTCACACAACTTCCAACAAAACTAGTTATTAGTGTTGCGGTCATATTTAGAGTAGGAATGTGATTGGGTAAATCCTAGGGAATCTGGGAATGTATCTTATATTCCTATTAGGAGTAGATCACCTATTAAATGTTGTAATCCTATGGACAAAGGTTTTTACCTATCCTACTACTATAAATAAAGGCACAATGAGGTGAATCAAACACAGACCACAATTAAATCACTCTCTCCTCTCTCTAATTGCCGCCAGCCCCCTTCTTCTCTAAACCCTAAGATCGTTCAATCAAATAGGCTTACAACACGTTATCAGCAGGTTCTTGCCAGAAACTGAGGAACTAACAGATCATAGGAGGAGGCTATCATCCACAAAATTCAAAGGCTTATATTTGTTTTCTGCTAATCAGGTCCGCTTAAAATAAAAGAAGATATTTGAAACGTCCACGAAGCATGAAAACATTCTCCATGATGCATGAACCCTTCTATGTTTATATTTTCCTTACAATATATATATATATATATATATATATATATATATATATATATAGGGTTAATGACAAAAAACTACCTCAAGTTTGGGTCAAATGACACTTTCATACCTCATCTTTTAAAATTGACAATGTCATACCTCATCTTACGAATTTGTGTCAATGTTATACCTTCCGTTAGCTTGGCCGTTTATTTCTCAGTTAAATGCTGATGTGGCTTGACCTGGGACCCATTTTTATTAAAAAATTAATAAAAAAATTATTAAAAACAAAAAAAATCATTTAATATTATTTAAATATTAAAATAATAATAAAAAATTATTTAAAAAAACCTTTTTTTTTTTTTTTTCTTCTTCTTCTCTCTTCTTCTTCTTCCCTCTTCTTCTTCTTCTTCTTCTTCTTCTTCTTCTGCAAGGCACGAACTGGGTTTCCCATTGGTTTTTTTTTTTTTTTTTTTTTTTGGTGTTTCCTTCTTCTTCCTCCTCCTTTCTAGGTTGCAGGGGTTGAGTTTGTGGTGGGAGGAGGGGGGATGAACTGGGTTTGGTTTGGTTTGGGTTTTTTTTTTTTTTTTCTCTTCTTCTTCTTCTTCTTCTTTCTCCTTCTTCTTTTCTGGGTTGCAGGAAGATGATGGGGAAGAGAGAGGGGGGAGATGCACGAAAGGAAAGGGGAGAGGGAAGATAGATGATGACTAATGTTTTTTATTTTTTTTATGTACTTTTTTATTATTATTTTAATATTTAAATAATATTAAATGATTTTTTTTGTTTTTAATAATTTTTTTATTAATTTTTTAATAAAAATGGGTCCCGGATCAAGCCACGTCAGCATTTAACTGAGAAATAAACGGCCAAATTAACGGAAGGTATAACATTGACACAAATTCGTAAGATGAGGTATGACATTGTCAATTTTAAAAGATAAGGTATGAAAGTGTCATTTGACCCATACTTGAGGTAGTTTTTTGTAATTAACCCATATATATATATATATATTGTATATGTTTATATTTTTGTCAATATATATATTTGTTTCATGCATCGCACAATTAAATTGCTATATGGAATTTGTGAGTCAATGTATATAAAATAAATTAGAAGCAATTAGGGTTTCTCAAACCTTAGTAAATTCAAAAAAAGAGATAGGAATTATGGGATTATGTTGCAACACTACCGTGGCACAACCGTGTGGGGACCCCCCTCTTGAGACAATGTATTGGACCTGTGCCGAAGCCTTTGGGCTTCACTACTTCTGTGGATAATCAGGTCGTGTGCCTGGTCTGTTTTCTGACCACAGGCTTGTAGCCTCGACCCACGCCAGTGCATGCTGGGTTGGTCCTCGAGTCTTGGCCCACGCCAGCAGCTGTGCTGCTGGGCTTCCGTGCCTCAACCGACAGGCCACCTTTCGCTGGGCCTTGACCTGCACCCCTTGAAGCCCAAACCAGCAGCTTGGGCTGCTGTTATTTGTCTTCTACCCGGACTCGTGGCCTACAGTCCACTCTTGAGGCCTTTAAGGCCCTGCCTACTCACGACACCCAGCCCAAATATTTTTGGGGCTATATTTTTTGACCCAATAATATTATTTAGTTTCTACAATCAACCACGTATGACTCGATTTATTGAATTAATTAAAAGTGACATGCAGTCTATTAATTTGATAATGAATCCAAAATTATTAACCTGAATATCACTTTTGGACATTAACGATTCAATAATTTATTTTTATACTTTGAACTATAACATACTTTCATAGTAACGAAGCTCTCACACATAAGTTCTTGAAGAACCTCAAATCCAATGTATTCAAATTATTATATTGCATTATGTGTTTCTTGCAGGAACCTCTCATTATGAACTAATTGTTCATAAAACTAAATTGAACTTGTAGTTTCAAATTTAATGTCTTTGAAACCTAAAGTTTTCATTCAAAACATACCACATGAAACCTGTAGTTTCCATGCATCAATTAAACCAATACATGTCTATAGAACCTGTATGTTCTACGATATATGTCTATGGCTATGACTAATCACGTTTTTTCCCTCTGTTTTAGGGACATGTCGAACTTGAAAAAGCTCGATTTCTCCACTCTAGAAGTCTCTGGAAGAAACTATCTGAAGTAGGTTTAAGACGTGAAGCTCCATCTAACTGCAAAGGGTATTAGAGCCATCATCAAGGCACTTATCGTCGACAAACCTGTTGACGAAGCTCAGAAGGCTACTGTAATGATCTTCATTCGAAGACACATCCATGATGCACTGCAGACTGAGTACCTTGCTGGGGAGGACCCATGCACCCTCTGGATTGCTCTGGCCGACCGTTTCGATCACCAGAAAGACATATACGTGCTTGAAGTAAGACACGACTAGCAGCATCTTCACTTCCAAGACTTTAAGTCCGTGAATGAATACAACTCTGAAGTTTGTAGAATTTGTTCACTGTTGAAATTCTACAAAGTGGAACTAACTGAATCAGATCTTTTGGAGAAGACCTATTCGACCTTCCATGCCACGAATATTGTCTTGCAACAATAATATAGGGCACAAAAATTCACCAAGTTTTCGGATTTGATCTTTGTTTTACTTCTCGCTAAAAAACAGAACCAACTTTTGATGAAGAATTATCAAGCTCGACCCATTGGCTTGAACGCCGTGCCTAAAGCGCATGCGACCAATTCTAAAAGCCATAAATGACGAAAGAATCGTCATGGCCGTGGTAATGGGTGGCAAGCCCCACCATGGGCCCAAGGTCAATAAATTGCCACACCTAAGGAAGAAATGTGACCCAGCAGCATCCACCACTTGCCCCTAGGGCCCCAAACTTCAAGAATAAAGGCAAAGCTCCCGTTCAGCCCGTTTCTACTGAACTGGACATGTGCGATCGCTATGGATCAATGGATCATTGGTCACGCATACACCGAGTTTCCCCTGAGGCTATTGCCAAGTATCATTCACGTTGTGAGTTTAACTTTGCACATGTGGATCATCTGGAAGATGCAACTACATCAATGAAGATATTGGATTTTCAGGAAGCGTCAACTTCTATGGATGAATAAATTAGACATGTTTTTAGGGTGTTTACCCCTACTGGCCAAACCCACTAGGAGTGGCCAGCCCTTACCCCCTCTATATTTCTAGGTTTATGGTTTAATTTTGAACAATTTTTCTAAGTATTTGGAATAATTTGTTTGGTTTTGATTTGTTTTGAATTATGGATTGTTATTTGAATGGATATTATTTTCTCAAATTGCTTAATTGAAAGAATGGACTTATATTTATGCATGTGACGAATTCAATCAATTTATTTCTAGGTATGTCTAGTGAGGAAGTTAGTTGTCTGGCAGATAGTGCAACCATGCACACCATATTGCGTGAACGACACTATTTTACTAACTTAATACCCAAGAAAGCTCATTTGACAACTCTCTCAGGCCCATCCAACTTGATTGAAAGATGCAGAAAGACACGTATCATGTTGTCTAATGGTACAATCTTGACCATTAAGGAGACGCTCTATTCTCCATATTCCGAAAGAACATTGCTGAGTTTTAGAGATATTCGAGCTAATCAATATCATATTGAAACCACTGAAGATAATAGTTCTGAATTTCTTTGTATCACTTCATACGAATATGGCCAAAAGCGTATTCACGAGAAGTTGGAACGCCTGCCAAGTGGGTTATACATCACAACCATTCGCGATATAGAAACCCACAGTGTGGGCGGCCCTATGCCTGAGTTCCAGGACACTTTGTTGCTTTGGCATAACCGTTTGGGACATCCTAGACGTGACATGATGCGTCGTATCCTCAAATTTTCAAACGGGCGTAAGTTACATCCTTATGTTGGACTCCCGCTATGCAAAACGTGTTCTTTAAGGAAGTTGAATACTCAACCCTCATATACAAAGATTATTCATGACCCCCCTAAATTTCTTCAAAGGATTCAAGGGGACATTTGTGAACCTATCCAACCAACTTGCGTACCATTTAGATACTTTATGGTGTTGGTTGATGCATTGACACGATGGTCACATGTTTGCTTGTTGTCCACATGCAACGCTATGTTTGGT